GGAATACTCTAATCAAAAATTAGGTTGAAACATGTCCTCATAATTTATTTATTTTATTTAGTGTTCTATCTGACGACAGGTCCATATGAACAGGATCCTTCCATCCTTTTCTCGGACTGGGACCTGTTCATATACGTTCTTGGCAGATGATCCAGAAGTGGTTTGCCATTGCCTTCTTCTGTGTGTGAATGGAGTAATTGTTGGGATGCCACGGAGAAACCGGGGAAGCCCCCGGAGGAAAACTCCGTGTTGCCTAGACCACGGTCTTGCCCAACACAAGTTATAAATTCGGGCACCGCCGGGAATCGAACCCGAGACGATAAATTTATTTCAAATAAACAGTTGTGGCGACCACGTACAAACAGACTGATCCCCGACTGGCTGGTTCCACCGAATACAAACAATAACCTACGCATAATAAAGTAGTCGCTATGGAAATGAACAGGTTGGTATCCATTTTATGTCGGTATTTCTGATCTCATTTTAAACGCTTTGGGAAAAATACCCACGCCTGCTTTTTGTTCATAAGGTTTCTACTTCAAATAAAGAATTTGGGGAACTTTATGTTTCCCTCAGTCACGCCAGACGAATGTCTTTAGACACACCATTAACATCTTTTTTATTCTCCCTTATTTTAGCTGACTGCGCTTAAGTCAAAGCGTAACAATGAGTCACGTACCGGGAATCGAACCCGTACGTGAGTGGCTGGATCCTGAGGTAAACGCCCTGCCGAGTTCGCTAAACCACAAACTCGTTATGAGCAGTGAAATAGGTTAAATTGTTAATGACGTTACGTCGACTGTGAAGATTCCCAAAGCGGGTGTTCGAACGATGATCATCGAACAGAGAGCAGTGCGATTGGCGGTGACCGCGACACACATTTTAATGGTAAGGCATTCTCAAGATTGAGGGGAAGGGACCCGAGCAGTCGCTATCAGGACACGATTTGAACACATGGCGGATCCTCTAATAATATGGCCACTGCACAACTCTGTATCAGCCCGTGAGGTTGAATGTCAAATGGATCCAAACCTTTGTAATGGATTTTAGGTTCTCATGGCGGTGAGTACGAAGATGGTTGTCTTCCGGGTTGCAGCGCCGTGTAGTCTGGTAGACGTTTACCGACGTTTCAGACTTCCTTGCTGCTTCCAGCGTTCATTAAAGCATGTTTCGTTCACGTAAATTACTAACCATACATACTACTAATACTACTTATGTATGTCACTTTTTAATGTTGTTTCCACTTGACTGAAATAAGACCATTTCTTTAATTTGGATGTAACATTTTTCTGATAGGGATAAGGTCGACCTGTAGACCAAAACAGGATTCGTCGTCACATCCTTTCCAACGGAGATGGCTGTCTTCTGGGTTGTGGCGCGTGTAGATAACATTTAGAACACTGATAAATGAGAAATGCTCTGCCCACAGATAGTCGGCAAAGAGATGTTTACTGTATTGGCATCGCATGACTATTTAAAATATGAAATGTCGAGTGGGAATCATCCGGCGTACACGATGTGGGCGAACAGAAGATCTGAACTCTGCCAAGTGTCGATGATCGCAGAGGTGCCCTCGGGCGGAGAATGTTTATTGCCAGTTACTACAGAAGTTTCATCGGAATCCTCAAGAACAGAATACTGACGCCATGAGTCAGCTCACGGGCTGCTGATTAAACAAAGGTTCGGGGGTAATTACGCTGCAAACAAACAGATTCCTTCTTAACATTTTAATAGTTGTTCAGCTATTCGATAAATTCGCCATGTTTTATGGAACCCGAAGGATCATTACGGTTTTCATAATGAATCGCCATTGGTCCATATCCTGAACTAGTTGAATCCAGATTTCTGTCTTCTGGGTTGTTGCGCTGTGTAGTCTGGTCGATGGTCATACTGCCTCCGTCATCAGGGTGATGACGGAGGCAGTATGACCTCTGAAACGTTGGTTAACATCGACCAGACTAAACA